ATAACCTTAGGCCATGCTTCCCGACAGCTGGAAAGTGCTGTGCGCAGGTGCGCAGCATTCAAAAAGCCTCTTTTCCCTTGCTTTTTCAACCTTAGCTGTGCTGCGCAACAGGTCAGGTAAGAGCCCAAGTGGGCAGATGGGCCAAACAGCAGCAAACACAGAACTGGTTTTGTGTCTGCTGCTCTTCACAGCTACCAGGTCTATAGAACTGGGCAGAACCGGTAGCATCCCACCTCTGATTAGGACACTCTCCACATGCTTGCTTGCTTGCTTGTTTCCCATCTTCATTATTTTTACAAATAAAGTATCCAACACACCTTCGTCCTCCTATTTTCCCCTAAACAACAACCCTATGAGGTGAGTTGGCTGAGAAAGAGAGTGACTGGCCCAAGATCACCCAGCTAGCTTTCATTGATAAGGTAGGACAAGTCACAGTCTCCTTTCTAGCCTGAAACCTTAAGCACTAGACCAAACAGGCTCCTTTGAAAGTTCATGAGATTCCTTTACATGCCCTTCAAAGTAGGCCTGAGCAAGAAGGATTATTAGGACTCTACTGTTAGCAGAATCTTGAAGTCTGACAGAGTTTCCCTCTGTCCTTTCTTATACTGTACAGAATCAAGATAGTATTATTTAAGTCTCTTTCTTTATCTTGATACTTTCCTAGTTGTTTTGTTTACAGCCTCTGAATTAAAAGACCATGTACTCCCTTCTCCAAAGTTATCTTTGCTTCCCACTATATCATGGGTATCAAACTCACCGCATCATGCTGCTGTCACATGATGTTTCACAATATTTTTCCTTTTTGCAGAGCTGGGCTGGGCATGACCTATGCATGATGCTTCCAACCCATGGGCCGCCAGTTTGACACCCCTGCTCTATATTAGCAGATGCTTTGGTAGACCATTCTATTTGATCTATGAAGGACAACTCCATGACAAAGTGCTGATGGAAATGCCCCATCACAATCAATTATATCTCACCTGTTTCAATGTGAACATCAAATCTAATATGTTGCTCCATGTTTGCATTGGGGCCATTATGACTGGGACAGGCCCATGAGAATCATGGTTGCCATGAATTCTTGACTTGCCTCTGACCCCAACACCAGCAATGGCAGTTTGAATTTGCCCAACATTAACATCCTTTTGTGATTTTGTTTGTTTGCCAGTAGTTTACTTATTCAATGTGCAAATTTTAATTAAATATTGTAATTGTAGGGTTTCTTATTATTGTAGTGTTTCTTATTGTTTCTTATTAAGGAAAAGTAGAGAAGAAATATCATAAATATACTTTGTGGTAAACTGGGATAGCTGAAAAGTAGCACAATGTTTGAAAGTGAAAATATGCCATTACAAATTCATTCTTGATGCCAAAAGTCCCATTAAAATCTCACTTCAAGTAATGCAATTTTGAAATTGTTCGCCCTTGACTGGAAAGTAGTTCATCTTTGAAACAAGTCTCATAATTACAGAAGTGAAGTAGTCAAATGAAGTGAAGTGAAATGAAGTTCATTGGAAATAAGCCATTCAGAACATTCCCACTTTATCAGATAATCCAAATGGCCTATTTCCAATAAACAGAGCAGTTCATTCCAATGTGGAATATTTCCATTTGAGATCAAGGTAGGATGTTTCCATAATGTTTCAACCTCAAAATGTTTTGCACCACTGGGGACTTCCGGTTTGAGCTTCTTCTGCAACAGACCGAAATCTCTTCTCTCCGAGGCTTCGATCCGTGCTCGCTGCTGGAGTGCCCTGAGCCGGCTGGTTTAGGGGCTAAGCCACCCCGTAGAGGTGGTGAAGAGGGGGGGAGATTGCCTGCAGGGTTGAGGAGAGCTGCATCTCTCCTCCCCAGCTGGCCATTACTCCCTTTCCCGAAGGCGGTTGTAGCGGTGGTTAGAAATGGCCACCACAAAGAAGAACTTGACCGGAAAAGAATGGCAGGTGAAAGACAAGAAGAGAAAGTTTTGGTTGACCGGGTCAAACAGCAAAAGCAACAAGTAAGGTACCCTGGAATTTAAACTTAACAACATTGTTCCCAAAGATTTTGAAGCTGCGAAGAAGAGAGAGAAGGGAAAGGATTAGTTTTTTTTCTTCCCTTCCTTATACTGACAGCTAAGAGACTTAAGCAAGAAACTGAAAAAAAAATCCACTTTGACATCAGTAGGCATCTAAGCTGAAAATAAAAGTCAAGGGGATAATAAAGATTTCTGGACATTTAAAAGTTTTTAAAAGCTGGAAAGGAGAAAAAAAAAGAATAGAAGGGCAGGATCTGGAAAAATGGAGGAGACTGCCTGGAATTAAGGAATGGAACTGTAATTAAAAGGAACTTACAGTGAAATTTTAACAAGATTCCTCAAAGATATATTTTAATGGAAACTTGGTAACAAAATAATAGAACCCCAGGAAGAGAAAGTGGAAAAAAGAAGCAAGTAGAAACAGCTTTTGATTATTTGGATTACTTGGTGATTTTTGGATTTTTGGCTATTGGATTTAAATGACTAAAATTAACTGGGTGGTTGTTTAAAAGTTTTTAAAATGGTATCACTCTTAGAAGAACTGAAAATGGAACTCAAAAAATGGAAAGAAGATGCACAGGAAGGGAGAAGTTCTTTTGGCTTCATGTTTCAATTCGTAGAAATGGAGATCTGGAACTATTAGAAGCAACTAGAAATGCTTGCAGAACAAGAAGATTGGGACAAAGAAGAAGCCATCTTTAATGATCAAATAATTTTAAATGGGGGGAAAAAAGAAAAGGGGGAAAAGAGAGTGAAAGGTTTAAGATTAGAAAAAACAACCCAAAAGAAGAACAATTTGAAAGATAAGTATAATATTAGAAAGCAACAGAAGAGGGGCTTACAGATGAGAGAGTTAGAAGTAGAGAGATGAGGGGGTAAAAGGGGGAGGGAGAAGAAGAGGGGGAAGAAGGCAAGGAAAAGAAGTTGTAAAAGACAGAAACAAGAAATGGGGAAACAGGGAAAAGATATAAGGATTGTAACCATAAGTTTGTTTAGAGATAATGGGTGAAAATTTAATTGTAAAATGGATTCTGCAAAGGTACTTAAGATAGCTTTATTATATTACAGATAGAAATAACTTTAGAAAATATGATGATGGATAAAATATTTATTGTAATGCTGTGGGATGTTTGTTAATAAATAAATGAATTAAAATGATTGAGAGAATTAAAAGGGAACATTTTTAATTATGAGTAATGATTTATAAAAATATAAGTGGAAATATGGGAAAAAAGAGGATTAACTATGGAAAGTTTATAAGTGTTCCCAAGGAAGTATGATATTCAATTGAAAAGAAATGTTAAAGATGTTAAGATTTTAATGCATATTAATGATAGAATTGAATTGGAATGGAATGTGTTTTATTTACACACACATATACACACACACACACATATATTTATATATATATAAATATTTTTTTCTTTTTAAGAATATAGTGTCTATTTTAAGAATGTACCAAGCAGAATTCGATTGGAAGCTATGTATTATATTGAATGCTATAATCTTAAAGCTATACATTGAAGCTTAAATAAAAGCTTGAATGGATAAAATTAAAGGATATAAAGGTGTCATACTCTAATTGGTAACTACAAGGAAAAATTTGCTTAATAAGAAAAGATAATGTGAAATTGTAACAGGACAGACAAAAGTATGATCAATATAATGATTTGAATTGAGATAATTAAAACAAAGCTGAGAAAATTAGAAGGGAAAAACTATGTAGAAAATATAAAATGGTAATAAGATATGGAATAGAATATAAAAATGAGCATGAAATTGAGTTTTGTGTCTGTCTGAAGAAGTGATAAGCTGGGACCATGCTATTTTCCAAAAAGATGTTTTATTTGTATTTTGTTTTTGTGAAAACCCAAGTAATTTTTTAAAAAATGTTTTGCACCACTCTAGTGAATTGTATATTTTATTCTTCTTCTCTTGCATTAAAAGTGGAAATTAGACATGATGCAACTGTGTTTTCTCTTCAGATTTGGTTTGATTTTTCCCAAATGTTATCATTTTTGTTTCCATGGTTCACTTTGAAGTTGCCTAGATAACAACAGTCTCATTTAAATTAAAATAAACCTCACCGGATGTAATGGTTTGAAAAAGCAGGGGTAATTAGATTCATTACCCCAGGTTACAATACATCTGATATATTTATATGCCTCAAGTTTTCAATTAATCCAGATGGTGTATTTAAGCATTACAGACTCAACTATTCTTTAGATCAGGCAATGTAACTATTTTCCTAATATACTTGTAAGATATGAATGCCTTAATATTTCAGCACTACACAGAAATCAATCTGCTGGACAAGATTTCTGCTTTCTTGCCATAGGCTATATTGTGGCAGATCCAAGATAGAACTGGTAGAATATTTCTTCGGTTTATTTTATCTGGAACAGAGACCCAGTTAAAGATAGGAGTATTAAATGGGGAAAATTGCCCTTATATAGAAGAAGTACATTCAGTGTTAATGTCTATTTTATGTGATGGATATTGGAATTCATAGGCAAGTACTTGTGCATCAACAATGCTGTGCATTAAGAGAAATAAAGATGAAAGGAGGCCCTCCAATGGGAAAAATATCACAAGTGAAGGATTTCTTAGTCTAAAAAATAATTGCATAAGAATAGCAGGGAAGAAGCGCAGAGATGATATTCATGACTCATAAATGAGTTCTGGTGGCTCAGTGGTTAGAATGCAATATTGAAGGCAAATTCTGCCCACAGCCGGGAGTTTGATCCTGATGAGGCTCAAGGTTGACTCAGCCTTCTATCCTTCTGAGGATCCAGATTGTTGGGGAAAATATGCTGACTCTGTAAACCAATTAGAAAGGGCTGTGTAAAGCACTGTGAAGCAATATACAAGTCTAAGTGCTATTGCTATTCATCAATGATTAGATGACATCGTTCATCTTAAGGGTTTGGTGTTAAAACTACAGTTCTGTACATTTAACTATATCCTCTTACTGTCTCTGCAGGAGATGCCAAGCTTCATTTTGGCAACAGCCATACCTCCGTCACCTTGGGCAGCCTCCTGGATGACCAACACTGGCACTCAGTTCTCATTGAACGATTCAATAAGCAAGTGAATTTCACAGTGGACAAGCACATGCAACATTTCCGGACTAAGGGGGATTCTGATGATTTGAATATTGATTATGAGGTGTGTTGGGCATTTTATGATAATAAAAACATTCATCGAGAGTGCAGAGAACTAAACACAATGGCCTATTTGGCTTTATGAGCAATAGAAATATTTCTATTCTCCTCAATATCATTCTTATAAAGTTCAGGAATTAATATGTTTTTATTTTACCATTTCAAAAGAGAGGAAAAATATCACAATGTATGTACCAAAACCATAAACAGAAGCCATAATGTAGATTAAAGCAAACTTTGAGATTTATACTAGGAGTGGAAAATGGCTGCAGGTGACTCAAAACAGAGGAGAAATCAGGGGAACAAAGTCCAAGAATGCAAAGGGGAGTGACCATGTAACGTGTGGATAGGGCTGAGTTTTTATTATTATATTGTTATGTATGGTTTTTTTGTACAGTCAGCTGGATATTTAGATTGGATTCATCATCTTTATCTACCTGTTGAGTCCTTCCAAGGACCTTGGAGAAGCAGATGATGATGTTAAATGATGTTTGATGATGTTAAAGGTATTGTTATAGGACGTACGTTCTTCTAAGTAAAGCTGGCTTTTGAAATTGACAGTAATTTTGTCAATACCACTGGTGTCCAAGTGATGTTCCAGATGTTTGGGGATTGCACCCAAGGCACCTATTACTATGACTTTATTTGTTTGTTTTCAATCTTGTATATTTGCAATGAGTATTTTCAGTTTTTGTGTATTTTTCTAATGTTTAATATTTTTTTTAAAAAAAGCAACAGCTTTATTGAGCCAACTTAACCCTTTTTACTCATAGTGGATTTATTTTTTATGTTTCCCACTAAAAATAGCAAGAACCCTTCAGTTTTCAACATGAACATCACCAAAACCCATTTGCATAAAATGTTTGTTGGGTCACTAAAAGAGATCCATGGGACCCTGAGAACACAGATTGTCCTATTCTGCCTAAAGCAAGGTTGCAAATTATTAAAAAATGAGAATGGTTTTGATACTGCAACTTCCTGCATCAAGTTAACTGAGGTTTTTGGAAAGTATTGTTTAGCTTCAAATGTGAAGTCTCAGAATCCCTTATCTTGCCCTAAAAATTACAATTATTATTCTAATCACTCTTTTAAATAAGCAGCAACTGGCATCTTATAAATAACTATTGTCAGGATTCCGGCAGTTACTCTAATTAAGTCATGAGCCTCGAGCCACACTCCCAAAACTACAAAGGATTTATTAGAAGTTAATATGCCAGCATTTTCCTGGGCATAACCAACTCTGAGATACATAATTCACTGTCACCCTTGGTCCTGCTTCCCCCCCACCCCTCTGGATGTATCATCCAATGAAACACATCTGTAGCCAAGAGTCATCAATCATGCTCTCCAATTAGATTTTTGTGTGGCAGAAGCTTCAGTCATTTAATCAGTCTGTGAAGAAAATATGAATGGAATGTACTTTCAATTCCACACTGCTGCCTGCTCTTTGAAATTCCCCCCTTCTTTCTGTTGACAACTATAAAACGTGTATACAAAATGTTTTATGAGTTGACATTTGGCTCCCCTCACTTCTTGAAGGTGACCTGTACAACACACACAAAAACAAATTGATTGCAGATATGGAAGCTTATGCTCATGAAACGCCCCCGGCTTGGTTGGATTTTCTGCATGGAACCTTACTACAAGGTGATCAGCTTGGACATTCCTACTCTTTACCCATGATGCCTCTGATAAAGGGTAGCCCTTCCACTTGATTAAATATTGGAGTTGTCTCCTGTGCCACCTCGAATCGAGGATTCCCTACACCTCATAATGGGTTTGGCCTCCTATGACCATGGGATCTGGGGGCTCATGAGGTAGGGGCCTCAGCATTGATCCAACCATGGGTTTTAATAGGCTACTATGAAATACCGGGTGTATTTTCCCTAACAATCATGGCAACTTCAATTGCACCATGACTGGGTTGATGATCTTTACTATGGGGAATGGTCCCATGAACTTTGGCCCCAATTTCTTGCTAGGGAGTCTTAACCTCAGATATTTGGTGGAGAGATAGACTTTCTCCCACAACTGGAATGGTCGTTGTGGGGCTCGGTGTTTGTCTGTCTCTTATAGGTTTGTGCTGCTTTTGCCAGTGTTTTTTTTACATTCTCCCAAGTTGCTTTCAGCGTTGACATCCAATCAGTCAGGCTGACTGAGGAGGTGGGGTTCCCTTGGATACTCAGGCATTGGGATGAAGTCCATGCCACTCACTACTTTGAAAGGGATTAGTCCCATGTTACTGTGAACAGCATTATTGTACGCGACCTTCACGAAAGGCAGGAGGTCCACCCAATTTGACTGCTGACAGTGAATTATTTATCCCAGAGTCAGCTACGCACAGGCAAATGCTGGTATGTTAACTTCTAATAAATCCTTTGTAGTTTTGGGAGTGTGGCTCGAGGCTCATGATTTCATTGGAGTAACTGCCAGAATCCTGACAGATAGCCAACTCTGAGATATGTAATTCACTGTCACCCTTGATCCTGCTTTCCCCCCCACCCCTCTGGGTGTATCATCCAATGAAACATGTCCATAGCCAAGAGTCATCAATCATGCTCTTTAATTAGATTTTTCCGTGGCAGAAGCTTCAGTCATCTAATCAGTTTCTGAAGAAAATATGAATGGGATGTACTTTCAATTCCACACTGCTGCCTGCTCTTTGAAACTTCCCCGCTTCTTTCTGTTGACAACTATAAAATGTGTGTACAAAATATTTTATGAGTTGACAACTATGCTGTAACTCTTATATTTCAATGGAAGTGAAAAGAATAGTGCAACTAGGAAAAAGCCATATAAAAGTGTTTTTGTTAAATAAATGAAAATGCAATTCACAAGAATATGGCCAAATGTATGTGGGGATATCATGGATATGGGGAATTCTGAAAACTGAAGTCCACATATTTAAAAGTTACTGAGGTTGAGAAATGCTCATGTAGTTGGTAGAGGTAAGGTTCTTTCTGAAATGTTTATCTTATTATGTATTTGTTAGCCCTAATCTAGTCATTTCATGCATAAAACAAAGTACAGTTGCCTTCTGAAAAGGCACCTTTAGTCCTCCTAATTTCCTTGCCTCTTATGTGACTATGGGAAGGTATATACAAAAGGGATAGCATGCTTGCATTTAGCTTTTTGGAAATTTCCAAGAGTAGGTATTTCTGTTGCAGAAAGTTAGAAATCTAAAATAACTTCTTAAAACTCTAGTTGTTCAAGTGTGTGGGCTGTAGGAAAAAAAAAACACTCAAATATTTAAAAATGAGATGAAAAATTTATCTGGCACTGACACTCCATGTACACCTAATTGAATGTCCTGGAACTTAGATCCCAATTTAAATGTGCATTGGATCTTATTCTTAGACTTTAAAAGGCTGTCCTTGTCTATTAATGCTTAAGAAGTCTCACATGGGTATTTTAATTAGTTTGAAGGAAGATATTTATACCATAGAAATAATAGGTTTCTCTTCACTGAAGCAAAGAGGTAAATGTAATTTGCCTCCACAAAACAAAGTTGCTTTGCCTTGAACTGTTTGGGGACATCAAACACTGGCTGTTGATGACTTCAAGGCTGTGCAACTTCAGTATATGTTGCAATAGTCAAGCCTGGTGGCATTGGAGCAGTATGTGTTGAAGCATGGAAGAATTTTGATGTGCTCTGAAAGGGCTTTAGACTCTGACTTTGGCACATACTGCAAGTAGCCCCACAATCTCCATAAAATCTAACTAGAAACACTTTGGCCAATAGTGCACCTCAAAGTTTTCTCTTGCAAGGTGAATTCAAGGTAGGGGGCTAAGTGGAGGTACAAAGCAGAGCAATACCCTTCAGAGCAAAATAAATGTGTCGAATGAAGGTGATTCTTCATCAGAATGAAGCATCCCTTAAGGGATTGCTACAGCCTTTCTCTCATTCCTTTAAATTTTCAGAGTAGCATGTGCAATCAATGGGAGAAGAGAAGAATACTTGGTTATGTTTGCTGAATTACTGAAAATGTATTAAATTGAATGAGCTATCGGTCATATAATGGATTTGTGTTAGGACATCAATGTTACAATCTAGTTCCAAAGTGATTTGGAATGAAACTGAGTTGAGAGAGACCTGGAAGGAGTATCTTAGATATTTTTTTTATGAGGATAATAGCAATATGTCAGAGAATGGAACTAAAATGAAGGCTACAAATATTAGTCTGCAAGAAGAAAAATGATGAAAGGGAAGGCATAAATGTTATGAGAATGCTGAAAAATTGGGAGGCTTCAGGGGAAGATGAACATTTCTGCTTCAGAAATGTTCAAATATGGATGCAGTTTGCTTGTGGAATGGCTATGTGACTTATTTAATATGTGTTTGATATCAGATGTTGGAGAACATTTGTTCCCATTGGAAGGAGGGCTCAAGCAGGGAACTAGTCTGGACTCATTATGTAAACACAATAGAACAATGTCTGACTCACCTAAACACTTTTGAGCCTTATCTAGTTTCTTTCACAGGTAAAAGTTGCCAGTCTGAGGAGATTCCTGTAGAATAGGCATAAAACAATAAAGCTAGTCTGAAAGTCTATATACGTGGGTGCATCTACTTGTTCATGCTTCACAACAGCATCTCTGTCTAGCAATAAGAAGAATGCTATTATTGTTCAGTTATACAAAGGAAAAAATAGCATGAATGAATGCAAAAACCGCAGGGAGTAGTTTTAGATTGTTGAGTGTACTTTAGGCAGATGTTTGGCAGAATTCTAACTGAAAGTTTAGGAGGGGTGTCAATGAACAAAATTCAGGTGCATGAAATTTCATGTCAGACAGGTGAATGTGGACCAGTTTTTCTCTTCAGCCGAACACTCAGAAATGTATTAATATGAGAAAGAAAGTTTATTGTATGATTTGGACAAAATAATAAAATTGAAAAGACTTGAATTATGGATTGTTTTGTGAATATGGAAATGGAAGTTGATTGTAAAATATGACAAAGGTGTATGAAGTTATAAGATTTGCCATGAATGTATGATATAACAAGGAGTGTTGATCTGAATATAAATACAATAAAGACTATGGTAGTTGTATTTGATGGGGAAATGAAGTAAACTGTGCAAACTGTACATAAAGGGGGGAAAAAACCCTACCATGAATGGTTTGTTGGTTTATCTGTGTAAAAAATATTTACTAAAGATGACAAGGTAGTTGAACAATTTTTTAAGTTATGTAAAGACTGGGAGAAAGATAGTGGGTACTGTGTGATCTTTTAGAAGAAATGAATATCAGAAGAAGTGAAAATGACTGAATATTAAAGTATGTTTCACTTAGTTACATGGAAATGAGGCTGGGCATGTCAAACTGAATGCAGTGAAAATGGCTAAAGTAAGAAAACATAGAGTCAAGACTGAATAGCTGATGCATAAATGTGGATTGAATAATCAAAGCATAGGCCGGAAGAGGGTGAGCATTCACATATGGATGAACATACATGTCTTGGGGCTAGGTTATTTGAAGGACTGTGTTTTCCCAATTGTATCTACCTGATTTCCAGACTGGGGAGGCAAAGTATTTTAGGGATCCTTTCTATTAAGCAGGTCCATCTAATGAGACCAAAAAGAAAGGCTTTCTCTGTGGTAGTTCCCTCCTTGTGGAGCAGCATCACTGCAGAGATAAGTTGGATCCCACCTTAATGCTCTTTCAAAAGGACCTGAAGACATGGTTTTGCCAGTAGACTTGGGGACCCCAGGTGATACGTAACAGATGTGTCTGAATTTTGACACTGGATGGGTTGATGGGTTGATGGGTAAGGGTTTGTTAGATTTTGTATTTGTGGTTTTACTTCTGTAAGCTACCTGGAGTCAACTGGTCAGCCATATAAATGTTTTAAATAAATAATGAAGTGGTACAGAGTAGAAACAGGTTGATTGATTCCCCACCTTGCTGATATTACATAGAACTAATATTCTCATGCAGCTGAACTGGTTGTACTGGACTATAACTAGTAACTTCCCCAACGATTACAATAATATGTTGGCTGGGGTATGATAGAATATGACACCTCACCGCTGAATCAGCAGTCCTCGCCTCCAGGCAATTGGCCTGTCTCCATGTGCTGGCAGTGAACAATTCCAGATGGCTTGATCAGTTATGCATTAGTTTTTGTTTTCTAGGCTTCCCAAGTGCTGTAAAAAAGGATGAGAAAGTGGCAATATTCTATTTCCTGGTGTTTTAGTGCAGCAACTTACTTGTCCCCTTTCCACTCTTCTATGGTTATAGAAGTTGAAAATGGAAGCAGCCAGAGATGGAGGGCTTTCAGAGGCTTCTTCAGATAACCATCTTGATTGTGGTGGAAGAAGGGACAATTAACTCGCTAGGAAGGAGACCAAGCAACATGGAATGAGTTAGTAGACCAGGATATTTGCTGAATAATACAGGCCTGCCAAAGGCTAAAACTATTGTCCTATTGAGGTTAATTACCTTGGTTAATTAGCAAGGTTTTTGAACCTGTGTAACACATTGCCTGGCCCATCCCCATGACCCAGTTAAATATGTCTTACGATCATTTCTTTAAAAGGCTAGATTAAGAAAGGCTATAATAAAACAACACTTATCAATTGTGACAATTTAATTATAGAACATAATATAAAATACAGAAACCCCACAATTATGTTTGTTCAATCTATGTTTAATGCTTACCTACTTTTGTCCTGAGATTTAAATGGCTTGTACTGTACCCCACTAATACTGTTGTCTATTGAAAGTTTATCTTAGTATTTTTAAGGGATTAAAGGTACAGCTACAGAAAATAAAAAGATTAGTTAGGTAATTAAAAGTATAATTGATCCTCAAAGGAAGTGTTTTTTTCTCCAGTAATGCAGCAGCATAATTTATATTGACTATACACTTTTAATTTTATTTGCTGAAAGTCCAGACTGGAGGACAAAATAAGAAAGAGCAAAGGTAGCAAGTAATAATGAGTTCCAGAATCAGAATGGATCTTTAAATCTAATTCACCTTGCCAGTAATTTGGAACCTAAAATTATATTGCTAAACAAAAAAATCTATTATTGTACTGCAGTGCTATTTGGAAGAAAGTTTTCATGCTTCTTTTCCATATGAAATTGGAATGAATGTCGATTTCAGATGATTTCAGCTTTTGACCCTGGAACTACCTTAGTCAACTCAATGGATAACCTATGGCAAAAGAAAAGTAGAGAGAGTAAAATATAATTATTAATTTGATCTTATGGATTGTCTTCCTGCTCGGCATTTCTTTCATTAACACCTAAAAATGATATTTGGTCAAAAACATACAGCTATCAGAACATTAAAATTTGAATTTGTTCTTGTCTCAAAGCTCAGTTTTGGAGGAATCCCAGTCCCAGGAAAACCAGGAACTTTCCTGAAGAAAAATTTCCATGGATGTATTGAGAACCTATATTACAACGGAGTCAATATTATTGACTTAGCCAAAAGACGGAAACCACAGATCCACACAGTGGTAAGAACTTAAAGCACCTTTGGTGGGGGGTGTTAGATTTTTATTTTCCTGAAGTTGTTCTTATTGACAGTTTGCTCACTTGTGAAGCAAAAGTTTCTTAGGTAAGAAAATTTCTGTTTCTTCCAAAAAGGTTTCCTTATAGCCCAGCACTGGCCAAACAGTAAGTTAAAAAAGAACAAAAGAATGCATTTGAAAATTTTAGCAATCTGGGTTTAAGTATGCCTTTTGAAAGAAGTTTAAAAAAGCTGGCAGCTGAAGAAAATAAATATGAGAATTATTGTCATTACTGGCAGTGCATTAAGCATAAAAAAGTGAGACTCTGAAGTATGTTTTGAACATGTGTATTCAGTTTTTGTTTGCTAGCCCAGGCTCACATCCTATGGAATTGGGGGAATCTGCAGAAGGAATGGTGAAAAATCAAGATGGTGATTGGGATTATGCAATCAAAGTCCTGTTCCATGTGTCATCAAATACACATCTGAAATGTTCAAGTTCTGCAACAAACCAAAAAGATCCAGTAGGCCATCTACAACTTATAATTGCAGGGCTATAGCAGCCACTATGTAGGACAAAAGGGCAGAAGACTAGCAGAGGGCATTCATAAACACCAAACAACAGTCAAAAAAACATAATGAAAAATCCCTTAATATCACAACACATAGACAGATTCAACCGCAATTTCTCCTGGAAAACTATTAACACTTAAATCAAGCCAAAACAAAATAATAGGGAATTTCTGAAAGCTGGGCATTCAGACAGATCAGTCATTAATAGACATATAGAGATACAGTAAATCACATTTATACATCATTCAAAAGAGGCAACAAAAAAACTAGAAAGGAAACAAAAAAAAACCCCATAGAATAATTCCCTCTAGCAGCTCACATTCAGATAAACAGGGAACAATACCAATCAGGCAGAAAGCATTACACTGATCAAGGAAGAAATCATATACTGACCAAAATTGGCAGGACAAGTTAATATATATAAACAGGCAGCTAACAGGCACTGTCCTAAACCCTCACTTACTCACACTAATGTCATTACCTAGTTGGGCAATAAAATGTCTGCAAGCAAACAACCAAGTTCAAACAGCACCAAGAACTTCACAGTTCAACCTTACTACAGATTTCTCTTTCATTGAAACTGTTCCACTGTTACTGGTGTTTTACCATCAATTTCCTTATATTTAAATGAAATGTAGATAGCTATAAGCAAGATCCATTATTTCTGGTCCTAGTTTCTGTGGGCATGAAAAATGTTCTTGATCAACTTTCCTGTAGCTTCCCTTTATGTACCTGAACATCACTATCATGTCTCCTTTCAATCTCCTTTTCTTCTTGCTGATTATTTTGGTTATTGCTTATCCTTCTTCTCCATCCTTGTTTTGCATACACTAGAAAAACATTTCTACCATTTTAGCAGCAAATACAAAATCCATTTCCTGCAGTAATATCTAGTTATACTATCATGATTACAAATACATGCTTACATGCTTTTGGTTTGTCGATGTCTCAAAAATGCATCCCTCAAAACTAAAGAAGAACATCCAATGAGACACAAAGCCGAGACTGTACTGAATAATTTTCTGAGGTGGTGAAACACATGCAAAATGAAAAACACATATGTAGGAAGTGCAAGAGTATTCTGACCATCATAAATAGTGCTTTGCTTCTTATCCTCAGCCTTCAGTGCTCCTTATCCTCAGCCTTATTAATGCAATATCAGGGGATTTCAATTCAATTGTGTAGAATGTGAAGGATGTGTGTTTTTATTTTATTTATGTGTAATGTACACTGAAGATGGCATTTAATTTCATTGTATGAGGTGCAATGACAATAAAGTAAAGTTAAACTTCAGTGCATTCAATGCAAAACCACCTATGATTTCTATGGAAGCAAAAGTCTGCACTGTACACATAGAAGCATTTTTAACCACCTGGAATAGAAGGTTATTTACTACTATTTCTATATTCATTTCAGGTGAAGTAAAGCTTTCGTTTCTTTCTTTCTCTTTGTTCTTGCAATAAACATTTTGGTAAAGAAGAATAAATGAAACGTCCATCATTGTACTGGATGCGCAATGTTAAGCTATTGCTCCTAACCTGTTTAATTTGCTTCCAATTTTTCATTTTGTATACCCTGAAGGCAAGTCAATACAATTGTCCAAAAGATTCCCCATTTATTCTAATGTTCTCTATATCATATTGTTGATCAGGGCAAAAAAAGCATGTGAACTTTGAAAAATAACATCCTAGATCAAAGTCTGAAATTTCTGATACTCACACAGCACTATTTTTGCATGTTCTCATAAGGCTCTAGGTCCAACGATCCCAATAAATATATAAACAATTTATTCAATTGCAAATTGTATAAATCAAGAAATGATGGTCTGAAACTAAATGGCTAGTAATGGAGCACTAGTCAAAGGGAAATCTGCCACTCTAAATTCCATTTTTGCATTAGCAGAACAATTTAGTTTGTTCAGTGGAAAATTATAATGATTTACAATGTTCATTTGTAATAAGCTCCAGAGCTTGAAGGTGGCTTTTGCCTGTCCATTTTCTCATTTTTATACATGATCTTGCCTTTAGCTGCAAGTAGAAAACTAGTTATGTAGATATTTAAGTATCTCCCAAGATTGGATCCTTTCAGGCCTTTTTGAAATTAGGAAGGTAGAAGGTTGTATCTGAATTTAAGTTCCTTCAAGATAGGGCCTCTGAATGAGGAGCTATTTGATCTTAGAAAATACTGGTCTGGTTATTCTATACATTGGTTGAACTTCAAGTTAATTGTTTTGAAACTTTGAAAGTTTCCCTTCCCTTCTCCTTTTCCCACTTCCCCCTTCTCCAAGGCAGGGATTTTTGACATTGTAGCTCACCAGTTTTGTGACTGAATGCAAACAACTTCTCCAAGTAATGTGTTGCAGAGCCAGAGGTGGTATTCAGTAGGTTCTGACCAGTTCTGGAGAACCGGAAGCAGAAATGTTGAGTAGTTTGGAGAACCAGCAAATACTACCTCTGACTGGAGATTTTACAGTATCCTTCCTCTGCCACCAAACCACATCCACAGAACCGGTAGTAAAAAAATTTGAAGCCCACCACTGTGCAGAGCCCTATCTAGCTTACTATAGCCTAATATATCTCATAAGTGTTTTTTTCGCTCCCTAAGTAAACATATCACTCAGAATTCATTATGCTTCATATTGCCATTATCTCATGTCTAAAGATCAGTTGATCAGTTGATTTTATCAGCAATAGTCCCAATCAAATTCTAGTACGGCAAATAAGAATTAAGGACCCAAGTCAGGATTATTTTAAAAATTGTTATAATGACTTATAGTGCTTAGTGTTTTTTATTTATTTATAGATTTTTAGCTTAACTATTCATAGCAAAGAAACTGTAAAACTGTAAAATATTTTTTTTTTACTTTAGTTTATTAATGCCACATTTGGTTACTTATTTTATTAATACCATATTTGGTTACTTATTATTTGGAATGATATTTGTTTTATGCTGGTCTATGATTGAAATAAACCAAACAATGATTAGGATTGCACCTGTATGTGTGCTGTGTGTTCTTTCATCTAAGAGGGCCACAAAAGACATGACCTTCCAAAGCTTTTATCCACATATTTTCTTAGTTTTCTTCTTGGAGCCTACAGTGCACTGTTTTAGCATGTTTCTAACACACTGAAATATTCCTTGGAATTACAGAAAGCCACCAGTTCTTGCCCTTTCAGAGTCTAATGCTAATGGCTCCAGTTGGAGTAGACTCTGAAAATCACAAAATTGGAGGTTACATGAAAGCCTTGTTTTGCCCACGTTTACTATAGACTTAACAAGTCATTCTGTATCCATGAATATTCAACAGTCAACAGTAGTCCAGTCTTTTCATACTCATACATGTGGTCCTTGATTTATGACTGTGATGGAGCCTGCAATCTTAAGCCATGTAAAATGTGATCACATGACCAATCACCTTTTACAGTCTTTTTTGTGATGATCATTAAGTGAATCTACCCTTGCAGTTTGGTAATTCAAAAAAGTAAAATGCCTGAACATTGGGGGCTGAGTGATGATTTTTTGGAGGGAGATTCAAACCAAAGGCAATTCAATCACATTGCTCTTTTAATTTTTTCAAATCAAATCAGTGGAACAAATACTACCTCACAGGGGTACTATTGTTGGAAAAATAGGAGGAGGAAGGTGTGTTTGATGTAGTCATTATCTTAAGTTATTATCTTGAGTCATTTGTAAGAATAATAAAGGCTGGATATAAATTTAATAAATAAATACTTAAATATGAGGTGGAGATTTTCTATGAATTTCTCCAGAATGACATGATACCTTCTCTTGGGGTTAACTGAAGCATTGAAAGTGATGGACCGCTGGGGATAATCAACGAAAGGCAGTAAACATACCCCTTGGATACTCATAATAAAATAAATGTGATTGATAAATAGATGGAAAGATGGATGGACGGAGAGAGAGAGAGAGACAGGCAGGCAGGCAGGCAGACAGACATTTCATCAAGTTGATAGAAAAAGAATTTTGATTTGTAACATAAATTACTGCCAATTATTTTTTAATTTACTTTGAATCAGCAGCATAATTTAAGTAAGCTATTGCCATTATTTATTTATTTAGCAGAAATATGGATGTTCATCTTATATATAATTACACTGTGCAACTTACAACATAACAATAAAACAAAGGATATGCTATTACAAAAGCAACAAAAACCTATACCTCACATTATTGTTAAGGACGTTGCACTTGATTGTATGATCGTTTTTACCATGATTCTTAAGTGAGTTCCTGCAGTTGTTATGAATGATGTGATCATTAAGGAAATCCAGCTTCCCCCATTGACTGTCAGAAGCGATCACATGACCCAGGAATGCTGCAACTGTCTTAAATACATGCCATAGTATATATTTAACAAATCTTCAAGAATCTTCAGAGAAATGAAATTTGTTTCATTTTTTAAAAAATTTT